AATTACCTGGGCCTTGTTTAGGCAATTTTTGGAGGTATGGCCTGGCTGGCCGCAGTTGAAGCATGTAACCTGATTGTTACGCCGCCCATGAGGCATGGACTGAACAAAAGCGGCAAAAGATTGTCCTTTCATTGCTGCAGCATATGCAATGCCTTGAACAACTGCTGGGGAAGCATCTAAGCAAACTTTAATGTAATCTTGAAGTGTACCAGTTTTTCTTATGGGTCTAATTAATTCTTTACAAAGGGAATTAGCATTTTCCCATGCAAGTTGTTTAAACAACAAATCCCGTGCTTCGGAGGATGGAAGAACCTTATCCAGAGCAGTTTCTAATCTAGGCACAAAATCTTGGTACATTTCATCCTGGCGTTGGTGTATATCAGTGAGATTAGTGGGTTTGTGCTCAGGTGAAGGTAAATTTTTCCATGAGGCAACTGCTAGTTTATTAATTTCAATTAGGACATCTTTTGGAAGGGCAGCCTGTCTGCGTACATCAGTATATTTGTCTGTTCCCATGAACATGGAAAGAGAAATTTTCTCAGCCTTGACCATATCATCATGTTCCTTAAGGAAGGCATGTACTTGGTCCTCATATTCCATGCAAAATAATATATACATTCCCGAAGGAAGAACAGCTTTAGCAAGATTAAGCCAATCATAAGGAGTCATCCAAGTGGCCAATAACATGTCAATAATTTGATAAGTATAAGGGGAGTTATGTCCTGTAGTCTGAACAGCTGATTGTAATTCTTTAAGAGTTTTTATAGGAATAGCCTCCCAGGTAGGGCCATCGTCATCAGTGCGAGTCAAGGCCGGAGGTCCAGTCACGGGAAAGGCAAATGAAAAATCTCCCGTTTTACTGGCCTCTCTTGCTGATCCTAGAATGCTGCCTAGGGGCCCTTGAAGGACACAATCATGAGGAAGATTTTTAAGTGCAGTTTTGGGTTTAGTAACGATTGGAAAAAAGAGTGGCAACTGGGCGGGAGGGTTTGTCATTTTTGAAAGTTAATTTATCTAGCATTTCAGCATATTCATGATCATTAGGCTCATCCTCTGCATGGGAAAGGGATTCCTTTAATATAGGAGCAGAGGCTTGAGCGAGTAATGGTGTTATTTCTAGGTTTTTGTTGTCTTTAGTATTATCCTGAACCTCTCCCCGTTGACTGTCCCACAATTCTGCCTCGGTGTCATCAATCAACAAATCTCTAATTTGTACCCACAAGGACAAAGTCTGTGCCGGGACCTGAGATGGCCCATGAAGGTCATAGAATTCTTCCACTTCTTTTCCTACTTTTTTCCAGGTTTCTAGTGATAAACTGCCTTCTTCAGGAAACCACGGGCATACCCGCATTATGAATTCATAAAGTTGTAACAAAGCTTTTTTATTCACTTTAATACCGCGTGCTTCAATCATATTTTTCAGTATAGAAAGAAAAAGATCTCTGTTTTTGGTCTGTTGTTGACCCATGACCTCGTGGTGCTTTTGTTCACTCACCCAAGATCTTTATTTCAACTGTGCTGTCCGGCCCGTGTCCCTCGCAGGAAATTGCGGAGGCGTCTTAGCTAAGGTCTGTCCGCATAAACCCCGGACCAGGCTGCTCCAAGGAGCAGATGACCGTTATGCCGTATGACGTCCTCCACGGGAACCGCGGGTGCAGCCCACTCAGACTCCGTAGCCCTAAGGCTGTGGAGCCGTATTCATGCACTCTCTCACACACTCAGCACCACAAGAATATTTACACTTAGAAGAACTTCTCACTGTCTCAAACTGATCACCCTTTATCAGCGAGCTCCGGACGCCCCAGTGAGGATCCTATCCCTGACTTTTAAAAGAGGGTATTTTTAAGGGAAAAAATTCACTCACACACTCACACTAAGAAGGAGATAGCTTACCCAACGCAACCTCTTCGTTACTCACCTCTTTGTTTAGGTGGACAACTCAGCAAAATTTGAAGTTGGGCCCCACGTTCGGGCGCCACCTGCCGTGGACCAGCACAGCAGTAGACAATGAGGCCGTCTCAGGGTTGAGAGACTGCGCAGGGTGGTCAGGGATTCGGTTAAAGAAATGACAAACAGACACACTTCAAGAGAGAGTGTAAATCTGAGTGTTCTTTATTTTTGTTAGTGGTCAGTATATATATGTTTTTTCTAAAGGCATAGGATCGGTAAACATCAAAGAAAATTGTTTTGTTCATAGGTTTAGCTTATCATTGACAGGGCAGTGATTTATGTCCAAAATACATCTGGACCTAGCTGCATTCCTAAGTAGACAGGTTATTAACTCTTTCTATATTCTTGTACTAATTACTACTACTATTACCTACTTATGTTTACTCATAATTAATTGTCATAGGTAAATTTATATTATAATGTAGTTAATATCAAAGGTACTAAAGTTAAGCACATAATAGAAAGATTATTAAACTACAATTCTATTATAACACAGTGTTTAGTAATGTTTCATTTGCATTAGCCTAATTATTAAATTACGTATGCTTTTTAATTAGCAATCAATGACCAGAAAAAGGAAAGATTTTAGAGAGACAGTTGTAGCAGAATAAAGTTTATGGGCCTTGAGAAAGCGAGATAAGGTTCCAGGTGGTCAGCATTTCTTTTAATCATCTTTGTGGCAGCTTCTGGTGGTCGTTATCTCTTGACAGGCATTCGGCTTCTCTGCATCTTAGGGAGTTTGCTGTTCTCCCCCTGTGCGCATGGTTCCTTGCCCACGCTGGACCTCAGGGACCATGGCAACAGCCATTAGCCCTGAGGGTCACTGCAGGGGGAGGTGCAGCACCATCCTTTCTCTCAGGCCTCAGAGATAGCATCAGGTTTTCTCCAAAAGCCTGTCCATCTGCAGCTACACCTTTCTGTCACTCTGCAAGAGCACATGTGATGCCTCCTGTCTCTTTAGTACAGTCTGACTTCATAATGTTAAGCAGACTCGAACAATCATCACTAAATATTTCATGTCAAAGCATTGATGATATATTTTCTGATCAGTTCATGTCTTCATAAAAATAGGATCACAAAACAATTGGGCTTAAAATGAAGTTGCTGCAACATTCCAGACTGTGAACCTGCGTTGTGTTGAGTCCGTGGTAGGTACTGGGTAAGTCCTCAGTATTTATAAATAGCTTCATGGTTTGCAAATAGGGCTTTTTCAATGGAGTTACAGTGTCTATAAGTACTAAAAGTAGAAACATACAACATCAAGTTCCACTGTTTGTAGTAATACTGCGAACCTGGTAGGTAAAGGCTGGTCAGATCAGGAGGAATTTAAGTTTCCTTACTATAGTGGCAGGAAGGGCCAGTGCAGGTTTTCTATGATTGGAACAGACAGTAAAGGAGAGTCCTGGAGACATCGGTGGCTCTCCAGGCTTTTATTGTCATTTTACCAGGTACACAGCAGGCAGGGGTGCTGGGGGGCCAGGAGGCTGGCAAGCCTTCCAGCCCCCAGCAAGTCTTCAGTCTTTCTGGGCTCTTTGGCCTTCTCTCGTGGCCTCTGCTTCTCTGCTATTTCTCCTTGTCGTTCTCTTCTGGTAGTTTTGTTCTGCTCTGCTGCATCCCCGTGACGCCACCCTTATAAGCACCATCTCAGCCCAGGTGAATCCCACTTCCATATGGCCACATCCCACTCCAGGTGCCCGCCATGAGGCATGCATTCAGGACCACAAGGATCCATCATCAATCCTAATGGCGGGAGGGCAATTATTTACCCTTACATTCCTGAGCTTTTATGATTCTAGGAAATTCTGATCCTAGGAAAATGGGAATCTAAGTGAGCAAAATCTGGATTTCATTTTGGAATCTCAGATAGGTAGGTGTAGGTAGCCCTGCTGAATTGCCTCTAAAGGAACTCGAGGGAGTCATAGTCCTCGCAGCAGGCATATAAAATTGTAAGCATTTGGGTAAATACCTAGAAGCAGAGTTGCTGGATCCTATGGAAGCTCTGTCTTTTAGTAGGTCCAGAAATCTCCACACAGCTCTCCATAGTGGTTGGACCAGTTTGCACTCCCACCAGCAGTGCAGGAGAGTTCCCTTTTCTCCACATCCTCGCTAACATTTGTTGTTGCTAGTTTGTTAAATATGTGTCATTCTCACTGGTGTCAGGTGGTATCTCATGGTAGTTTTGATTTGCATTTCACTGGTTACAAGCGATGTTGAACATTTTTTCATATGCCTGTTGGCCATTTGCATTTCCTCTTTGGAGAGGTATTTACCCAAATGACACAGAAACATTAATTCCAAAGAGCACCTGCACACCTATGTTTATAGCAGCACTATTTACAGTAGCTAAGCTATGGAAACAACCCAAATGCCCCAAAAATGGATGACTGGATCAAGGAGATGTGGTACATATACACCATGGAATATTACTCAGCAATCAAAAAAAGAAACTCATGCCATTTGCAGCAACATGGATGGAGCTGGAAGGAATCATGCTCAGCAAAATAAGCCAGAAAGAAAAAGAAAAATACCGGATAGTCTCACTCATAGCAGGAATTAAGAAAAACATAATATGGGACCAGGAAAAAGACTAATTAATACAAAGTAAAAATCAAAATCAACAAGAAACCATAAACCAGAGACACACTACGGGAAGGGGGTGGCGGGGAGAAGAAGGATTAGGGTCATAATAAGGGGGTGCAATTGTATGGGGAATATAACCAAAATGATAATGCATACATTGTGCAAATATGAAAATGATGGAAGAATTATATAAAATAAAATATTAATTTAAAAAATAATAAAAACAAAAAAAAATTGTAAGCAGAAAATTTTGTTCTTGCCAATACCCAGGTGAAGCCAACACTGTCTTGTTGGGACAGCTGTTCTGATGAGAAGAGAGTCTTGTCTGCGGTCAGTCTGGTCTCCTGTCCTGGACACACAACACAGGATAAAGAGCACTGAGCGCTACCTGGCATGCACTTGCTGAGGGAAATGTGGACACATGTTCCAGACTTGGTAAGTCAGCACCTTTGGGAATCTGCCCTGGAGGAAGCACAGCCAGCAATCTACACACAGGCTTGAACACTGTTGATAGGCCCAGCACCACTGAAGCCTTGTAGTGGAATCAGCATGAACTTGAGATTTCAGTTTCTGCTTGTCCAAATCCTCTGTGTGTGGTTCTGGGTTCATCCCCTCAGTCTACTTGACTCCTTTTTTTCTTGATGACAACCAAACTGCTTTAATTTCAGAATGACCAGTGAGGAAGAACACTTGAAGGTGTCTACAAATGGGGAATGTTGCCAGAATCTGGGGCCTAAAGTTAGGTGTATTGCTGAGGTGAAAGGGTGACTCTTTGTCTAGAATTTGAGGTGAATGTTCACTTGGTGTGGGGGGTTTCCTATGGTCAACTAACCTCTGTGATAAGAAGGTCAGTGTCAGGACAAGCTGAAAGGGAGTCCAGCCATGCGGGTCAGTGCCAGGGCTTTCGGGAAGGCAGCCCCACTGTGCCAAGCGATGGTGTAAAGCAACCAACCCATTCCGGGCAGGTTTATGAACGGTTCTAGCAGCCACATGCTCTTTGCCGTTGTTTGTAGTCGCCGCACTCCTCCGTACACTCCACTTCTCCACCCTTAACACCGCACTACCACCACACCGCACACTGCTGCACCACCTTTATAAATCAGTCTCTTAGCTCAGGTGTACCCACTCAGGTGAACGCCATCAGGCATGCACCCAGGATCACAGGGCTCCCTCATCTATCCTGATGGCGGGAGGGCAGAAAAGTCTGATACCTTTTACCTTACCCTACAGATGGGAAGGGCTTCAGACAGCTTCCCAGAGACCAGGGAGTGTCCTCACTGGAGTGGTGCGGACAGAGTACAGATAATCTGCCAGGAAATCTTAGAAGGCTATGCTTTGCAGGCCTGTGACCTCTAATTCTCCCTCCAGTTTTATAGCTCATCATTTACAACCCTATTACCAAGCTAACCAGCCACAGAGTGAGGCTGTTACTTTATATTACAATTTGCAATAATTCTTCAATGCTAACCTCAGTGCATTAAAGATCTCTAAAGCTTTCTTCAATCTAAATACAAATTCCACTGGGAATTACTAGGTTGTGAGGAACCTTGTTAACTCCCTAACAAGAGTTAAAGGGAAAACAGCTGTCACCCTGACAGCGTATTTCCTTTTTACATCTCTTTGAAAGAGTCAGTCAGTGTCGCTGTTCAAGTCAGAGCGCTTTGCTTCCAGCAGCAGATCCTGCAGGGGACATCGGGTGTGGGATCCAGCACTTAGGCCTCGGAGCATTTGAGGAGCCAGAGCAGGTGGGGGCAAGGTTGGTGTGAGGACCCTGAGTGAAGGTGCCCACAGGTCCTGTGGATGGGTGGGTGGAGGGGCCCTGCTGAATGGCCTCTCTAAGGAACTCGGGGGAGTCATAGTCCTTGCAGCCGGCAGAGCCTCGTCCCACCATACTGCCAGCTGGGCTGATGAGAAGAGGCTTCTCTGCGGTCAGTCTGGTCTCCTGTCCTGGCCATATCTTCTAGGTTTGGAAGATGTGGGGAAATGTCTGTCCCTCTGGCAGATGAAAACAACAGACCCGAGAGGAGCAGGGGTTGGGGTTCAGTGACACAGCAGATAGGGTCAGGGTGTCTGCATGTCCCTCTCATGAGGACTAAGGAGGTGTTCTACAAAGGTGACCACCGAGTGATTCCACCAAGTTCAATATTCATGTCTCCCCTCATCACAGCCGGGGATACACCTCATCTTGACTTGGAAACAAACCAACTTATGCACTGTGAAAACAAGTAGTGTCATCTTCTGTCTGTGAAGTATTTAATACAGTATAGAAAGAAAACAAATCTGTCTCATTTGTTTCCTGACCTTATACACAGTCCTTGAGGTGCAGATTCTGGATCACTGAATTGGTGGAAAATTAGTGGTTGGAAAGTGAAAAATAAGCTTTGCAGTCAGGTGTATTTGGCAAACTTATTTAGGATTCTTTGCTGCAGAGTTGCTTGGAGACTTAGTATGATAATAGTCTTTCAAAACAGGATGGGGACATTCAGTATTAACTGGTTACACATCTCAAAGAATTAGTGTTCTTAGGAAAATTCTAACTTTGAAATTTAAATCAAAGAAAAATAAGAAAATAAACTATTACTGAAATGCACAGAGATGTGGCAATAGGTAAACAGAAAACATTTACATAATTAGATAATTTTCTTCAGCACTTAATCCAGAACAAAATAAAATGCAGATAATAAGATAATAGTTTACTGCCTCACTAGAACTTATTAAGTCCTAAATTTTGTGTATTAATGGAACTTTGATCTATATAGAATCATGAAAGAATGAGCTTGAATGACAAAGAAAGCAAGATTAATTTACATGATAAGCTAGAAGTATAGGGCAACTTCCTCGACTAGCTATAAAATTTCTACAAAAATCTAAAACTAAAATCAAACTTAATGACAAGAAACTGGATGCCACTTAAAATTAGGAACAGGACCTCCCTTATGGTGCAGGGGTTAAAGACAGTGGTGTAAGCTATTGCCAGCAACTGCAGCACGAGTTCAATCCCCGGCCAGGTAGCTACCCGCATGGTGCAGCAGACCTCTCCTGTCTCCCCGCTGCTCCCCTCAGAAGTGTGTTTCAGTCAGTCTGCCTGTTCTGCTCCCCACTCTGTCTCTGGTGAATCCTCTCACCCCCCACACCCTTGGTCTACACCCCAGTGCTTGTGTGCATAAATAAATCTTAAAAAATAAAAAAAAACTGGGAACAAATTAAAGCTGTCCCTTATCATTGATTCTATTCAGTATTGTACTGGAAAGTTTTAGATTAATGAAATAAACAGGAAGCAAGTAAAAGATAATGTAGACTGATTAAAGAAAAATAAAACTATACTTGTGCCCAGATGTCATTATTTTCAATGTAGAAAATCTCAAAGAATCCACAAAAAATCTCCTGGAATTAATAAATGATTAAAAAGTAGTATAAATTCAAAATATTCTTATTAAAAAAGAATCAATAGGAAAACATGCAACCTCGGGCTTCCCTGGTGGACTAGGTTAAGCCTCAGTGCTCTCAACACTGCAGCCTGAGTTGGATCCCTGGCCAAGGAGCTAGCCATATGTAGCACACACCTCTTCTGTCTCGCCAGCTGTTCCCCTCAGCAGTGTATTTCAGTCAATTCACCTGTTCTGCTCCCCACTCTGTCTCTGATGAATCTTCTCATCCCCCACACCTCTGGCCTGTACCCCAGATCTTTCATGGATAAATAAATTAAATATTTTTAAAAAATACAACCCAATTACCAAATATACAAATGATCTGAAAAGACACTTCACCATAGTATCCACATGATAAACAGGTGCATAGAAAGATTTTAATTATAATATGCCATCAGAGAATTTAAAATTAAAAGAGAATTGTAATATCACCACATTAATATTAAAATGACTAAAATCCCAAGCACAACAACCCCAAGTTCTTGTGAGGATGTGTAGCAACAGAAACTCCTCATTATTGATGGGATTGCAAAATGGCATAGCCACTTGGGAAGATGGTTTGAAATTGTATTGAAACAAACTGCTTTGTTCTTATAAAACTAAACATACTATATGATCCATAAATTGTCCTTACTGGTATTTATTCAAGTAAAATTTTAAAAGTAGTCCTACAGAAAAATCTGCATAGAAATGTTTGTACAGGCTCTATTCATAATTGCTAAAACTTGGAAGCAACCAAGATAGTCTTTAACAGATGAACTGATAAGCTGTAGTATATTCAGACAATGAGCTATATAGCTCAGTGGTCAAAAAAAATATGTTATCACATACATATATACATATACTTGTGCCTTGAAAACATATATATGTGTGTGTATAAGTTATTTTGTTTGTAAGTTATTCCTTTATCAAATGATATAAAATAAACCACAGAAAGAGTGAAACCTAATGTAAAATATGGACCTTAAAGATAATGCATCAATAGTGGTTCATCAATTGTAAGAACAGATTCTGGATCACTAAATTGGTGGAAAATGAGTGGCTATGCAAGATATTAATAAGAAGGGACACTGTGTTTTTGGGAGGTTGAGGGGATATATGGGAACTCTGCAATTTCCACTCAATTTTTCTCCAAACATTAACTCATAAAATAAAGTCTATTAATTTAAAAACTACAAAATAAATAATTGAAATTTACTGAGACGTGACGTGGCAGTGAGTGAACAAAACATATTTTTACCACATTTAGTAGGTTTCTTCAGTAGCTTAATTAAAGACAAAAAAAAATAGAAACGAGAAAATAATAAGTAATTCACCAGTATTTATCAAGCCCTATCTTTTCTGTAATAGAATTTGTGTGACAATTAGATAAATACTCAATCAGAAAAGAATGGAAGTTCACTGAATGGTTGTGCCTATTAATAAAGTAAACAAGATTAATTTACATGGTTAAATATGCTGAAAAAATGGGAAGCTTTTAGTGCAGTTCTTAGCACATAGTATATGCTCAACAAAGCTAACATGTGCTGGGTAGTTTGTGGTCTGTGTGACAGAAGTGAAACACTTAATGCACATGATAAGAATTCAGAGAACAGGGCCTCCCTGGCGGTGCAAGGGGTTTAGCACCACACTATGAAGCTGTCCACAGAGTGTGCAGCATGAGTTCCATCCCCAGACAGCCAGGAAGCAACTCACATGGTGCAGCAGACCTCTCCTGTCTGGCCCGCTGCTCCCCTCAGCAGTGTATTTCAGTCGATCTGCCTCTTCTGTCTCCCCCGTGTGTCTGGCCTGTACCCCAGCTCTTGTATACATAAATAAATAAATCTTTAAAATAAAAGAATTCAGAGAACAGAGAACTTACTGCAAACTGGAATACTTGTGATGGAACTGAAATTTGTACTAATGTTAACACAAAAAAAGAGGATCTGATAGGCAAATAAAAGAAATACAAGCAAACCCACGAGGAACAATAGAAAGGTGCTGCACAAGCAAAACATGTCATGAACAGACATGCTGAAGTCTAAGCCCCTTGGTCACTGCTTGCAAATATGTCATGGTGTTTCATTGCCAAGAAAGGCAGTCGTTCCAGGCAGCCATCACAAGAGGATTCTGTGTCATGAAGCAAGCAAGCCCAGCCAGGGGAGCTGAAAATAGAGTGGCCTGAAGAAAGGCAGTGATGGTGGACTCAGCCCAGATAGCAAATGCGGAGGTGCACACAGATCACACACAGTGTGACTTTGGTCTAGGCAAAAAAAAAAAAAAAAACTACTTCTGTCTCTACATTCCCTGACACTTCAGCAACAGAAATAATAGCAATCAAAGGGTGCTTCTTAGTAAATTTTATGAGGTAGCCTGAAGGATGTTTCCTAAGTGAAGAACAAAATGAGCAACAGCACATAAACTTTCAGACATTACAACAATTTCGTTCATTTGAAGTTTAAAATCACTACATAGTACTGCTGTTTTAGCACAACCTAATGGTGATAGTCATTATTTTTCTTAAGAGTTTTTAAAGATATAATCCAAATACCATAAAAGTCACCTGTTAAAGCATACAAATAAATGATAACTTCACAGTTGTGCAAACATCACCAAAATAAAATCTGGAACATTTTCATCACCCCCAAATTAACCCTAGACCATTAGCAGATACGCAGATACTTCCCTTTTGCACCAACCCTTAGGCTTGGCAAAATCCAATCTACTATGTCTCTCTATAGATATCCCTCATCGGGTTTTTGAAATGAATGGAATCTTACAAGAAGTTATGTTCTGTGTCTCGATTCTTTGACTTAGCATAAGACTTTCAAAATCCATCCAGGTCTCAGAATTTCATTTTTTTTTTTTAAGATTTATTTATTTAATTATACAAGCACTGGGTACAGTCAGAAGTGCGGGAGGGTGAGAGAATTCACCAGAGCCAGAACGGGGAGCAGAACAGGCAGACTGACGAAATACACTGCTGAGGGAAGCAGTGTGCGCGGCAGGAAAGGTCTGCATGCCATGTGGGACCCTCACCGGTGGCCGGGGATCAAACCTGCGCTGCAGAGGCTGCGGGCAGCTTCGCAGCCCCACCAGGGGAGGCCCCATTTATTTTTCTTAACAAGCCATTTTAACCCAAAGCTGGAAGATTTACTACTATATTTTCTTTCAAGAACTTTGTAGTATTTGATATTCCCTTTAAGTTGAATATTGATATTCAACATGGAGTTGAATGAATTTTTGTGTGTGGTCTAAGATATACAACTTCATTTATTTGCATACAGACATGCAGTTGTCCCAACATTTGTTGAGAAGACAAATTTTTTTCCACTGAGTTTTCTTTTCACCCTTGTTAAAAAATCAGTTGGCCATAAATGTAAAGGTTTACTTCTGGACCTTCCCCTCTATTTCATTGATCTATGACTGTTCTGCTAGTATCACATTGTCTTGATATCTTCAATTTTAGCAAGTTTGGAAATGAGACTGAACCCTTCAAACTGGTTATTCTTATTTCAGATATTTTTGGCCATTCTGAGT